CTGGTGTTATGCCTGTGGGTTCTGTCACAACTATCAAGAAAGCGTTTTAGGTCAAGGTTAATATTGGAATTTAAGGTCCTGTAGATATAGATTGCACAGTAGTAAGTGTGGATGTTCTGAACAGGGAGTAAGTTTAGATCTATGAAGAGTGGGGGTGTGTTGCCAGGGATGGGATTTAGTGATTATTCTTACTGCGGCTTTTTGTTGGGTTATTATTGGCTTTAGGTGTGTTGCTGTAGTTGAACCCCAAGCACAGATAGCATAGGTGAGGTATGGATATATAAGTGAATGGTGTAGTGTGAGACGGGCAGTTTGCGGTACGTAGTATCGTATCTTGAAGAGGATCCCCACCGTTTTGGATACTTTTTTGTTATGTGTTGGATATGGGTGCTGAAATTTAGGTTGTTGTCGAGGTATAGGCCAAGGAATTTGCCCTCATTATGTCTGGCAATTAGAGTGTTGTCAATCTTAATGTTAAGTTGCGCAACACCTGCTCTGCTACCAAACATAATATAGTAGGTTTTGCCAATGTTAAGTGTAAGTTTATTGGCTGTCATCCAAGTCGATATTTTGAGCAGCTCCTCGTTAAAAATGATGTTGAGGGTGGCAAGATTGGGGTGGGAGATGACATAAGTCGTGTCGTCAGCAAAGAGAAATGGGTTTCAGGTGTTGGGATATGTTTGGAAGATCATTGATGTAAATGAGGAAGAGCAGGGGTCCAAGGACACTTCCCTGCGGAACTCCAGTATCAAGTGGCCGTATTGATGAGGCTGTGTCTTTAATGGTGACATACTGATACCTATTAGAAAGGTAGGATTTAAAAATATGCAAGCGCATGGCCCCTTATACCATAGTGGTCAAGTTTGTGGAGTAGGATGCCGTGGCAGTCTTCAAGCTGGCACTGGACAAGCACCTAAAGTCGGTTCCTGACCAGCCGGGCTGTGGCTCGCACGTTGGTTTGCGTGCAGCCAGCAGCAACAGCCTGATTGATCAGGCTCTGATCCACCAGGAGGCCTGGTCACAGACCGGGCCGCGGGGGCGTTGACCCCCGGAACTCTCTCCAGGTCTACTGTGTCAAAAGCTTTTCTTAGGTCAATAAAAATTCCTAGCGGATATTCCTTATTTTCCAATGCTGTGTAAAGCAGGTCTAGCATTTTTATAATTGCATCATTAGTGCTTTTATTTTTCCTGAATCCAAATTGGCAGGGGATGAGTGTTTTGTGACGTTATAAATGAATACAGTCTCCTGTGCACGAGTTTCTCGAAGATTTTGGGTAGCAATGGTACGTTTGATATTGGCCTATAGTTCTTTACGTCTGTAGGGTCACCACCTTTATGTATTGGTGTAACCCTTGCTGTCTTGAGTAGTGTCGGGAAAGTGTTAGTTTCTAGTGACTTGTTAAAAAGTAATGTAATAGCATGCCTAAGGACATGGGCCGCTCGCTTGTACAACAATGGTGGGACGTGAGACAGATTCCCCGAGTTATTTTTATGTGACTTTATGATCGCGGTGACTTCCGTGGGCTTAGTTGGTACAAGATAGAAGGAATTTGGGAAATTTCCATCTAGGTAGTCCCCGGCACGGGCATTGGTACGTGGGATTTTACTGGCGAGATTAGATCCTATGTTTGAGAAGTCGTTTATCTTGTTAGCTGTATCAGTGGGATGCAGTGGTGTTTCATGAGGTCTAGTTAGAACAATATTCTTGTTTTTTTTTCAGTTTGTGGGTCCCCAGAATCTGGGAAAGTGTTTTCCAGGTCTTTTTTATATCTCCTCTTATGTCAGTGAATCTTCTGGAGTAGGACAGTTGTTTGGCTTTCTTTATTAATTTGGTGAGAACTGTTGAATATTGTTTAAGAATATTTTTGTGTATTAAGCCCTGTCTATATTGCTTTCATATTGGCGTTTCTTATCAATGGATTTCAGAATGCTGCTGGTTAGCCATGAGCAACCAAGCCGTTTATTCGTGATGTTTCGTTTTCATAGGACAATGTTTGTTGTATAGTCTAAGTATTTTGTTAAGAAAAATGTCTGTCCAATCGTCAATACCATTGGCATTGGAGAATTCTGTAGGCCAGTCAACAGTCTCTAGGTCTGCTGTGAAATTCCTTATTGAGGCCTCGTCATGGAGTCTAAATGAAACTTTGTTATATTCAAGTGGTGGCTTACTAATGTTTGTTAAGAGGAAGGTTGGGTAGTGGTCAGTAGTGCTGTCTGTGATTATCCCTGATTTAAGGGGGGCTAGTATATTGGTCCATATGTGGTCTATTATGGTTGCACTTGTCTCAGTCAGCCTGGTTGGTTTAGTTATTGTTGGTATGAGAAGTGCGTTGTTCATATTGTTGATGAAATCAGTTACAGTCTGATCATCTGGTAGGCCAAGGTTGATATTGAAGTCTCCAGCTAAGAGGTGGTGCTTGTTCATTTGTCTGTTTGTTATTAGTGACTTTAGATTCTCACTGAAGTTTGGGATGTTTGTGTGGGGTATCCGGTATATGGCACCGATTGTTATAGGCGTCTTGAGGTTTTTTACAGCAAAATTAGCAAAAATGTATTCCCCATATTCATCACTAAAGCAATTAGTGCTAATACAAGATAGTTGGTTAGAGTAATAGATTGCAGTACCACCCCCAACTTGGTATGGTTTGCAGTTGTGGATTGCTGTGTATCCTGGTAGTGGGTAGATATCAATTGTATCCTGCTTAAGCCAGGTCTCAGTAAGAATAATGCAGGAGAAGGGTGTCTTTAGTGACTCAAGGAGTGCCAGGAGGTCATCATAGTGTTTGCTTAAGGACCTGATGTTGTAGTTAAGAACTGATAGACTTTGAGCAGTGTTCAGGATAGTGCTGGTTTGTGATGCTGTGTAATAAAGACAGTTACTTTCCAATAAGTTTTGATTGTGTGTTAGATTATGGAGGTTTAGATCAGGGTCAACGTGATCATTAATCTAGGAATATGAAGCACCTCCCCTCCCCCCCCAAGAGATTGTTTTTGATAACATTGATATTGCTACAGACCGCTATTAATCACGTTGATTAGGCAATAATATGATTCATTCAACGGGGTGCCTTGGTACTGATGAAGTGCTTTTGATCACAAGATTTGTAGATATCCGTCCCCTTCCTTGGGTCAACCCTGATTATCTCCCATTCCCTTATAAGGTCTGGAGCTCCCCCATAAATTAATCGTGTTAATAAGACTCGATCAAACTGCGTAAATGAATATATGCTTACATGTATAAATACCATTCGTATATTACATGCACACTTACTCCAGACAACTTCCAACAAAAAACAATTGTCGGGAAGTTGTCAGGAAAGTAATAGTCGGAAAGCAATTGTCTGCAATTAGGCTGTGCGTGTCTCGAACTGTATGACCCATAAGGCTTCAGCTTCTGTTTTTTTTAATATAATAACAATGCTTACCTTTAACTGATGATATATAAGCAACTACAAGCACCAGAATAAGAACCCCCCTCATTCTTTCCAGTTTATTTTCTATTTGTGTTATATTACAGACGGTGGCTACACAACTTTGAGAAGCACTGATGGCGACTATCATAAAACCCAAGCCTTCACAGGTCTCTCCCAGCTTAACTCCAGATAATACTAGGTCTAATTCACACATGCCATAAGGCTTAGTTTCCATCAAACTGCTGTCGAGATTATTAGGATGTTATCACTGTTTATCTTATCTTGACCACCTTTGGTCTGGAGAGCTTATCTTTCAGTGGCATAATTTATTTTATTTTTTATTTATTATCACACCGGCCGATTCCCACCAAGGCAGGGTGGCCCGAAAAAGAAAAACTTTCACCATCATTCACTCCATCACTGTCTTGCCAGAAGGGTGCTTTACATTGCTTTAGCATTGGGAAAAATTGGAGGCAATCAGGTTCGATCCAATGAAGGGGAGGGCAGGTCTAATTCCTTGAATTAAGAGTCCCCAACTGGCGTCAGGGAATCCCTCCATTAAGGGTGGTGGTGCCTAGTAGCAACCCTGAATTTGACAATTATCACCTGTCATAATTGTTCGTACCTCTAATTTAAATGCAGCGCTGTATGGCCCTTGTGATTTAGCGCTTCTTTTTTATCATAATTAATTTAAATGCTTTATTGAGATCCATTTATAGACCGCTCCATTACTTATATTTAGCTTGTTCCCATATTCTTGTATTTCTTATTATAGTTCTGGAAGGAATTCTGATATTTTTTCATAGAAGACTTGCCATATATTCTCATTTAATGAAAACCTACAATGACTTACGTCTATATTTTTTTCTATATTTTACCCCCTTAATGAAGTGATAAGCTGATAATATATGAGCAACACTTGGATATCTTTACTTGCGATGCTGTATAGCCATTGTGGTTTAGCGCTTCTTTTTGATTATAATAATTTACTTGCGATGACGTTTCGCCAAGCAATACATTAATTATATACTGAGATAGTGAAAATAAGGTAATGAGTCCTTTAGCCAGGATAGGTGGTCAGTACCTTATTCTTGATAAAAACTAAAGCAGACACAGGAGGCTGGACTTGTATACTGGAGCCGGATGGGTGATGCAGCGTATATATGCTTGTAATTTACTATAATCCCTCTTTTATGGATCAAAGTATAAGTTCCTGGTGGTGGAAATACATGGAACTTTAATAACCCTCGTGTAGGCTTTAAATAACCCGGTGCTGTAATTGAATACATCACAAGTGGGTTGGAACCACCAGTGGAAGTAAGTCATGCATAAGTGATGGTTCGACCAAAAATATTCCCTCTCCTTACGTATTAAAGGCAGTCTTACACTCACTAGACGTTAAAAATCAAGCACTAAATATGTATGGGCTATACAGATACACTTGGGTAGCATTGAAAATTGGGCTGGGCAAATGTTTTGTTAGTGGGATGAATTGTAAAGGACCTGCCTAGTATGGGCCAACAGGCCTGCTGCAGTGTTCCTCCTTTCTTATGTTCTTACAATACAAATGAAATTTCCTTAATTTACCTGGGCCTCGGCATACATCCCTGGAGTGACTGGTTAAGTGTAACAGGCTTGAAGCTGTCAACTTCCTGCAGTTACTGAGGCTACATACCGCCAAGAATACTTTAAGCCCACTACACTCTGTGTACATACATCTCTCAGTTTATATATCGTCACCAAGAAAGATATACTCTTCAGCATACACATTGTGAGGTGTCCAGCACACACACATCTTTAGACTGCCGCCCACAGGCTGGGTATGGGGTACATAAAGATATTATGAAACTAACACACCACCTCACACCACCACTGTCCTAACAAGGTCAACACACACACACGGGGGTATTACTCTTCACAAACTACCAATTAAAACATTCTCTACACCTACCCAAGACAGTTACTTCTTTCTCATTGGCTGGGCTCAATACTGGATTACCTACTTATTATGATTTTATTATTATTATTATTATAATAAAAAAGAAGCGCTAAGCCACAAGGGCTATACAGCGCTATTTAGTATACAACGCCAGGGAAATTACAGGCAACCAGGTTAGATCCAAGGAAACAGCAGCGCAAATTTCTTGGATCAAGAGCCTTTACTGGGATCAAAGCATCCTTCAAGATTATTATTATTATTATAATCAAAAAAAGCGCTAAGCCACAAGGGCTATACAGCGCTGCATTAATGAACTACATTAATTTACAAATTCAGTGACTATGCGATGAAGTATGGCAAGAAAACCATGCAGTGTGAGGTTATTACAATCATAGGGAAGAGCGCTGAACACACACGGGTAATACAGCCTCTACGGGTAATGTGAGGTATTCAGGTTCGATCCAAGATAGAGCAGGAACAATTCCTTGGATCAAAATAATTTTGTTATACTCCATCCAGAATGTGATGGAATATGACAGGAAATCTTTATTATAGTTATACGAGTCATACAATACCTGAGAGAAACTCCAGTTCCCGGGATCAAAAACATTAAGGAAATTACATTGAAGAGCTCCATGAAACTCTACGGGAGTTATGCACCATATTTCATTAACTATTATTTTTGTACTGTATACAGTACAATGGAACCCTAAGTAAGTTTATTCAGGTATACACAAATACAGTTACATATATTATCATACATAGCAGCATATGTGTAGAGAACCTAGGATAACCCAAAAAAGTCAGAGTGGCTTATTTCCATTGGGGTCCTTTTACCTTATTATAAAGGTTATAATATTTCTTTATTCTATAATGAAGATAACATATTATTATTATACTAAAAAGACTATCTACTACACGAGGGTCATTACTAGGAATAAGATAAAATTACACGTGTGTTAGCTAAAAAATAAAAAATCATTCCCATCTGCCTCCCAGCACACATAAGGGGGATTACCAACAGACCCCTGGCAGTCTTCAAGCTGGCACTGGACAAGCACCTAAAGTTGGTTCCTGACACGCCGGGCTGTGGCTCGTACGTTGGTTTGCGTGCAGCCAACAGTAACAGCCTGGTTGATCAGGCTCTGATCCACCAGGACACCTGGTCACAGACCGGGCTGCGGGGGCGTTGACCCCCGGAACTCTCTCCAGGTAAACTCCAGCTACATTCATCAGACACCTTTTGGCACTCTTCTTGAACTGGTTCATGCTATGACTGGCTTTGACTTGTGCAGGCAGTCTGTTTCATTCCTTTATTGCTGTACAATAAAAGGTGTTTGAAGCCTGGCCACTGACTGTGGGTACTACAAAGTTGTGCTCTTCTCCCCCTAATACATACTATGATTGCTTTGGTTCCCAACCTTGACAAAATTGACAGCAAGATTTCTGGACACTTTGTGAGCAATTTTATAAACATGATTTAGCTTCAGTTGTTTTACTCTGTCTTCAACATTCAGCATATCCAACTGCTGTAATTCATTCTGGCCTACATGTTCTCTGGGACCCAGGCCCAGGATGAATCTTACAATTTTGTTTTGGGTGATTTGCAGTCTATCTTTCAGTTTATTTGTCAAGGCAGAGTATCATGAAGAGCAAGCGTAATCCATGTGACACTGTATAAGGGCTAGACATAGGGTCCTGCAAGCCTCAGTAGGTAGACACTGTGCTTGTCTATAGAGGAACTTCAGTCTGGCATTCGCTTTCTTTACTACACTGTTCCCTATCAATTCTCCTGACATGCATGGGTCAAAGGGGATTCCCAGATATTTTACTGATGAACCAAAGTGATGGGCTCCCCATTACACTGGACATTAAAATTACTTACCCTTCTCAGTTTCGTGCCAAAGAGAATGGCTTCAGTTTTTCCGAGGTGTAATGATAGTTTGTTGTCTACTAACCATTGTTGTAGGACTCCAAGACTCCTGGTGTTTGAATTTAATTGGTTCCTAGGTAGTGTTCAAACTGAGGAAAAAGTTCGATGTCAGAAACAGCATTTCTCAGGTTTTAATTATCAGCTTCACACACTGGAGGATATTGAATTGACTCTTCCGAAAGTCTCTGAGAATTAAGTCAATGTCAGAGGTCACTTCAAAGCACTTTTGAAACCGGCTTTTGTGTAAAGTTTTTTACAACTGAATTTTCAACAATTCAGTGCATTCGGACTCCAGAAGAACGTTCAAAGACCAGGTCAATTTTTTCTAAACAGAATTGTTTGGACTTTGGTTTGTTGAGGTCCAGCACATTTGAACACTGTGGTTACTCTGTACATTTATTTGGGGAGGTGCAGTACCACCTCTAGTGGTGACTGTGACACCCATGGGGAATGGGAGGCATTCCGGTTCAAGCCAAGGGGAGAATAAGTTCGGTTCCTTGGATCAAGGGCTCTTCACTGGTATCAAGATACTTACCTCCCTTGGAGGATAGTAGTGGATGGGAGGGAGGTGATATTCCAATAAGAACACAAGGCAGGAAAGTTGAGGAAGGGAAGTGAAGTCACATTTAGAATTATTGTCAAGGGATAGTACTAAACCTGAAAGATTCATACAGCACCTTGGAAATGGAAGACACTCAGGTTTGGTAACGATGAAGGTTGCTACTTTTTCTTGATTAAAGTCCTTCTGTGACATCGAGGCCTCAGTTCCTCTTGAAGTGACACGAGTCTCATATGTTGAAAGAAACTGGGGTTATTTAAGAAATTATAGAGCAAACCCTTATTAAAAGTGGGGCCATCAAAGGAGGGTGGGAAAAGTAAGCATGAATAAGAGATCTGAAATGAAGGTGGAATACTCTTTCATGAACCTGACAACTCATATTTGGATGACCTGACAGTCCTTAGGTACTGAGAGTTTATGGGCTCTTTGATAAATAAGGCAATTTAAAAATGTTGGACTGCTTGTATGGCCTATCCATGTAAGTCTTGTGTTTAACAGACAGCCTCAAGTGTAGTTCCCCAAATAACAATGGTGAAAGAATGGACAAAAGTGCAACTGTGATTTGAATAAAAACTACCTTATTAAACATCAACTCTGACTAATGATGCTGCAAGTGCTAAACCCATAGGGGTCATATAGCATCAGAGGAATGTGAGCCAATCAAGCTTGATCTTAGGGGAAAGGCATACAAATTACTTGAATCAAGAGCCCCCCACCAGCATCAAGACACCACATTTGAAGAGTTACAGTGAATTTATAATATTCTACATTATTTTATTTGCTGTATTTCTAATTTTTAACTTTTTAAGCTTAAGTAACTTCACCTTAACTTATATTAACCTTTCTGTTTCCTCTGTGTTTATATAAAAGGCTGCAGTTAGGATGTGAAAGATCATTACAACCCAGTCTAATGGTTACCAGATTCTCGCAGGCTCTCTGATATCTTTAGTATGACCTATATTGTAAAAATAATTTATGATGTTTAAAGTACCATGAAACTAAGTGAAACCTATAGTAGATGTAGTATATTCAAAATACAGTAATAATGTCTGGAGAGTACATAAGCAGAACCACAAAGTTTAGGCTGGCATATAAAAAATGACACATGATACCACAGTGCCAGGTGGCACTCAGACTTTCACCCTGATGGAGCTCCAGTACTTAGCATGAGCACTTGGGAACCCTCCAGCAACTCTCTCTCAATAATGTGCTTGATTTTACATTATTGTGAGCTAACAATTTGAATATAAAGGTACAGTATACGACACATTTAGAGTGAACAAGATCCCAGGATCAAAACATTTCCACTAAATATGTTCTAAAGTCTAGGTAGTAGGTTGGTAGACAGCAACCACCCAGGGAGGTACTACCATCCTGCCAAGTGAGTGTAAAACGAAAGCCTGTAATTGTTTTACATGATGGTAGGATTGCTGGTGTCCTTTTTTCTGTCTCATGAACATGCAAGATTTCAGGTACGTTTTGCTACTTCTACTTACACTTAGGTCACACTACACATACATGTACAAGTGTATATATACATACCCCTCTGGGTTTTCTTCTATTTTCTTTCTAGTTCTTGTTCATTTCCTCTTATCTCCATGGGGAAGTGGAACAGAATTCTTCCTCCGTAAGCCATGCGTGTTGTAAGAGGCGACTAAAATGCCGAGAGCAAGGGGCTAGTAACCCCTTCTCCTGTATATATTACTAAATTTGAAAGGAGAAATTTTCGCTTTTCCTTTTGGGCCACCCCACCTCGGTGGGATACGGCCGGTGTGTTGAAAGAAAGAATGTTCTAAAGTGATTGCATTTTATCTTTTGAACTAGCAAGTAATGAACAAAAGTTAATAGGAAAGGTTGGCCCATGTTGTATATTCCAGTGTCAAGGGGTGTGGTCCTTCAGGAAATACAATGGATATAACAAGTACCTCATATAGACCAACAGACCTTCTATAGTTCATTTATTTTCATGCACATTGTACACAATTACAATAGGGCATACTAAATTTTCAAAGGACAAACTTAATAAACAATTACAAAATATTTATATTCCCCACTATGTATCAAAATCCATCTATTGTTTTGCATACTAGTAGGTAATGTACTACAGTACTTTCAAAATAGTGTTTTTTCCTTTTCACATGTCAAAATGTTTAAGATGACCAAAAGTAGATCAGCTGATTTTTTTTTGTTTCAGGCGATAATTTTATTCCTATAGCTGGGCAGTAATATGTAGTGCCAATTTGTCACTGCAAATTATGTAACAATCACTGAATACACAGTAATTGCACAATTACATAGTCATTGAATATAGAGTAATTGCACAACTACATAACAATCACCAAATATGGAGTAACTGCATGATTATGTAACAAGCACTGAATATACAGTAATTGTATGATTATGTAACAATCACCGAACACG